TAGCCAATAAATTAGTCATAACCCCCTGCCAATCAATTAAGTGGTACCAGACCAGGAAGTAGTCTTTGTTCGTCCTACAGTAACCCTCACTGTCTCTTTCAGAAGTGAAGGAGTACAAGTAATTCCCATCTGGAAACTGAGCTTGGGAAATAAGTAATTGATGTGAAAGCTTTTTTTTTTTTTTGGTGAAGAATTCTTTGAAGCATTCAATTTAAAAACATTTGGTCTTGGATAATGTAATATAGCGGTGTACATTTTGTCCTACTACTTCATGTACTCTGGTGGAAACACATGCATACGCGCATATATGTACACCTGCACACCCACACCCACACACACAAACTAGACACAATAGACATAATAGATTTCAATGCACAAGAGATGCAATAAAACTGCAAACAAAACAAGCACATCCAAAAAGCATATTACGAGCTCATTACGAGCTGTAATGAAATACAGTGTGCAATATGAGGTTGTAAATAAACCACCGTGTTTTCATTTTGGGGACTCAGCAAATAGCAGTACAGACATTACAATGTCATTGAGCTAACACACACACACACACACACACACACACACACACACAGCACATATTTTAGCAGTTTGGCACAGTAAACCAAATTACAAAACCAACAATAAGCCAAACATTCCTTTCTATTGTGTCTAAAGTAAGCATCAAGTTTTCTTCTGCCAAAGTGTGGAAAGTTAACTTGAGTGGTGGGTAAACTTAACCATTTGTTTTTGTTTCTGTGCTTCTGTTTGCTTTTGATAAAAATCCCTCTAAATATGGAGCCCCCAGTCACTCTGACTGTGACACATTCAACAATACACCCATTACCCACGAGCTCTGCCATAATGGGCTATTTAAAATAATGAGGTAAACCAAATCACACTGAGATGCACTCTAATATGCCGGTTCACCTATTCACCTTAAGACCTTCATTTTTCTACAAGAATGTGAATGTATGATAAAGATTATATATTACAGAAATAAATGAAACTGTACTGATACAGTTTCATTTAGCTCCATGGATAGGATGCACGCAGAGAGTAAAAGGAACAGTCTTAACTTCAACTCTGGAATCATATAATATTAAAACAACCATCCACAATGTGCTCAATTATTTCCAGCTCATATTCTTCGTTTTCCTTATCCTAACCGTAGGTCAGAGATGGAGACAGTGTCTGAGGCCTGGTTAAATGAAAGGAGGGTCTTTTCTCTCCCATATTCAGACTGCTTTCCATCAGTTTTGCCTCATTGGCCCCAGTGTAGGTGCTTCAGGAGACGGTTGAGATGAGAATGCCACAAATGGCCTGAAACTAATGTTGGCCGCCCTCACCCCGCAGATTTACGGCACTCTCCAAAGACTTTCTATTTTTTCTTTTCTTTTTTCCCCCCAATTTCAGCCTGTCCCCCATTCTCCCTTTTCCATCTCCCACCCACACTGTTTTTCAGTTTCTCAAAAGGAGTATTACTTGCCATCTACCTCAGTATCCATTTCACTCAAACTGTTTTTCAACCTCTCCATTTCCACTGCACTTACATCTGTCATGTCAAATAATTTGACAGCAAGAGCTCGGAAGCATATTCCATTTGAGCACAATGGTAAATCAATGGTATCAAAGTTGCACCACTTGTGGTTCTTCATGACTGAATTGCACATGTCAAGGTGAAAATGACCAGCGGTGGAATAGTTCTCTTGTATACTGTTGGTGTGTGTGTGTGTGTGTGTGTGTGTGTGTGTGTGTGAGAGAGAGAGAGAGAGAGGGAGAGAGGGGGGGAGAGAGAGAGAGAGAGAGAGAGAGAGAGGGAGCACTTTTTCTTTGTTTCAAGGAAGTAAAAGTAGCTTTCAGAAGCTGAAACAGAATATTGCCACCTGATCTAGAGGGCTAAGATGATGATGGTGGCAATGTCAGAATGCACTGGAACATAACCAGTTATAGCACCATCAATATAATCTGATAGCAATGAAGGGATAAACCAAAGCTATATGATCATATGGATTATTATTTGCAATTAAAACAGCAAGGATATTGTTTTATATATGGAATTGGATTTGGAATGTTCTTTCTCGACTCTCAGTGAATCAAAGAGAAACCCACACACCTCTTTGGGCGTGTCACTTGCAACATTTGATGCTTGCAAGGCTGTAATTACACTCTGAGGGTTAATTGGTCCTTTTACACCGAGTGAACCTGACTGTGTGAAGGCTCGAGTGTAGACACACAGGTGAAAAAGACTCAAAGAGTTTCCACAGCCCAGGAGAGCTGGTGTGTTCTAAAATCAAGTGCATACGCTTTAAAGGTTGTTCTTGGCCACTTCTGAGACCGGCAAGATAAAGCACGAAATCCCCACTGTTCCTCTCCTCGGCTGCCAGTCAGAATGGAGAGCTGTGTAGCAGAGTGAGCTGGGGACAGGCGAGCTCACAGAGCAATGGACAGCATGAGTCACATCCCCCATGGTGCATTGCTTTCAGCTATCGTTGAGGGCTGAGACACACCTATGCTTTGTTCACATACAGTAAGTGCAAGCTGGAAGGTGTTCCCTCACACACACATTGCACATGCAGACAAAACCAACCCAACCTCAACACTCACATGGCCACACGCACAAAGGAAGCCCTTGAGGTTTAATCCAACCATCTAACACCCGACATGTGAAAAGGGGATAAAAGAGGGTCCATGTCTCCAGCAGGGCAGCACAATTTGGTGCCTCCCCTGACACTCCACAGCCCTGCTGTGTGTGTTTTTGTGTGAGGGTGAGTGCTTCCAATGCTTTGGTGGAAAATCTGCCCTCTTGCCGACACATTGGTGAAAGGCGATTTCCGTAATCCGGGAGTGTAAGCCTCGCTGTACAAATGGGCGTAAGGGACTTTGTGTGTGTGTGCGTGTGTGTGTGTGTGTGTGTGTGTGCATGCATGTGTGTGTGTGTGTGTGTGTGTGTGTGATGTGTGTGTGTGTGTGTGTCAGAAATGCCAGCAAAAAGCTGCACGTCTGTCTGGCTGTCTGATAAGAGGCATCGAGTGAGGAGAGTTTAGAGTAGCAGCACAGTGCTGAGAATGTGATGCCTCTATGGGAAACTGCTTTTGATTTTCCTTATTTTTAATATTTACAGTTGTTCACTGGTTGTAATTACATACATGTTTCACTTTTCCCTGAGAAAAATGGTCATCATAGGGCCAGATGTATAAATGACACATATGTACAGTGGTTGCCATTAAATTGGTATTTATAAAAGAATAATGGGTGGTCAGAATATGCGTCCCTTATGCATACTTCAGACCAGCCGTTCAGACTTTTTCTAGTGGCAGCCCTGCCTAATATGGTGGAAAAATGGAAAAGGTGAAAAATAAGACCAAATCCAGTACATTATTATTATTCTTTTAGGTTGTAAGTCAATCTCACCAAGAATTAACAATTCTATGCAGTCTACACTTGCAAATTAAAATCATGGCTGTCAAACATGCATTATAAATGCTTCTGTTAATGACTGTTGTGAGCTCAATTGTATTTTTTTTTTAATTCATTCTGCTTTGACATTTCCCCTTGTTTGATAATGTCCCTGTGCCCCATTATTTTATATTTTGTTGCAAATTTCAGAGGGAATAGTGTGTTTGACTAACAAACTAAACTCTAGCTACCTCCACAATGTTTAATGACGATGACTATGTGCTATAAATAGTGCCGGCATGCATAAGAATGGCAGCTTTGGTGTTAGTTGAGGACCTCGCCAGTGCTATTTGATTGAATTGTGCATTTTCTTTACATTCTTTTGACTAAGAGTTTTAAGCAGACAGGGGTTAAGTGGTTAAGGGTGTGTTTATCTATGTCAAACTACTGGAGTTCTACTTAATTCAAATTTCACAATGAGTAAAATTCATAAGGGAGAACCATGTTTATGCACGGCTCTATAAATCTGACAAAAAAGACTGTGGATGCATATTTTCTTTCCGTCATGAATCTACAGAGTTATATGCATCTGGCCCCTGTTGGTTGAGTGGTTAAGACATATATCAGGTAACATTCCTGAGCAATCCTGGCCAGGAACCATTAATGCATGTCAATAGCCCCTATCTCTTCTTGTGTTTCCTGTCTCTTTATATTGTAATACTAAAAACCCAAACTGAATCATTCAAGCAAGCAAGCAGAGGATGGGCAGTATTTTCATCTGCTGCACATTCAGTATTTAATGTGCAACTTTGCATATGCTAAACATCATACAGAGCTTTATTACTGTATGACAATGCATACTGGGGCCTCCACTGAAAAACTGAAATTAACTGAAATCATTAGCATCCATCATAACAAATTAAATAAAAATAACATGAAACGGCTTTGTTTGTAGCAAAATTATAACTTAATCAAATTGCCTGCCTTCAGTAGCATTCCTTTAACAAACATTAATCTCAGTTTGGGAATACTCTGGGCTCTAAAAACTCACAACAATATGGATGGATAATTACTCAGCAATTCAGATGTGCTGTAAAGAGATGCACTGTGATGTGAAATCTAGTCCACCAGCTATATTAACAGGTGTAGAAACGCCACTGAGAGAGAACACTCCTGAGTAATCCTTAGATCTAGTCTTCTGAGACCAAGCATGAAGTGCGTATTTGTGTGTGCTTTCCAAGCACGATTTTTTTTCTACCTGTCTGTGGTGCCCAGAGGCACAGCAGACAAATCATCTGGCATCATGACTTAAATCGGAGACAAGAGCAGCGCTTTTAGCCTGCTGGGTGTGCTTGATAGAAAATACCAGAATGTTGAGTCTCTTGGCCTCATGGTGATTATAAGAGATATTACTGTATATTCCACACTCTTCTTTCTTGACTTGGCTGAGTAAGCACTTAGAAAAAATATATGGGTTGGCTACCTAGATTTTCTTGGAATCTTAGCTATTCTCTGTAAAGTTATATAAAGATTTTGTGGTGCACCAAAGACATTCTGCATCAGGAAAAGATGTGTGGTATTTGTTGAAAATTATATAAACTGTCACTCACTCTGACAAGCATGTGAGGGAAGGGTCCTCTGGAGTTTTCAGGCACATTGATAGGTGGGATGACCCAGTCTCTCTTCTGCCGCCTCAGCCCATTGGCAGAGGAGCTCCTCTGATGTTTTCGAGAAAACCTGATAACTCTGGGTTGCAAGTCCCAGACTCTTGACAGCATTTCTTCAATGCCAACCTGAAAAGAAAAACACATCATATCATGAAACATCTCGCATTGAATAACTGGCGCACGTTATCATTTGAGGAATGCTATTTTGCTACGACAGGTTGGAAGATGAATCTATAAAGTGCTTTAAAATGACAAGTTTTCCCCTATGCTGAAATTGAAACTAAAATACTGGGTGTCACGCAAACAATGAACCCATTTTGGGAAAGTGACAGAGAGGCAAACACAAGGAAATATAAATAAACATTTGTCTGAATGCTGCTGCATCACATTTCATGAGGCCCTTGGCAAGACACACTCAGTCTGCCCAAGCCCTCGGCTTCTGCCTAAGAAAGCCAGACTTCCCCCAGGCTACATAGCTGGGTTGTGTCCACTGAGGTGCTATGCTTTGTCTGCGACCCTGCACTGATTTTTCAGGCAGACAGAATTATTCCTGGCCGACCCTGTCCTCTCTGTCCCTGCTGAAGACAGAAAACAATGTGACACCTTGCCCTGACAGAAGCCTATCATCAGATTAAACAGGTATTGATGAAATATCAGTGTAATAACAAGGGCAGCAAAGGGGAGAAGCACAAGACTGCCCCGCAGTTTTGTCCACGTAGCCATGATTTAAAAGACGAACTCAAAATGTCACGCATAGCTGGTGAGAAACACACTGTTGTTGATTAGTTTTGATGTGTGTACTCCTTATTTTTGAAGTTGAGGTACCTTTGAACATCACACAGGATCATGGTATTATGGGCAACTCCTATATATAGGTGTATATACCCTCTAGCTATAGCTGCAGAATGAAGATTGTGTTCTTACTCATCTAGCCTGGCGAAATAAGGGTTAGAAGGGTGTGTAAAAGACTGAGTGTTTTTTCCCCGATCCTCTATGGTGTCCTCCTGTGTAAGATGGTTGTATTGCTGTAATCCACCTAATCCTATTGTTGTCTCTGCGCCCTGTGTACACACACACACACACACACACACACACATACACACACACACACTCACTGGCAGTGTGCCGCTGTCACCTGAAGCACAGTGGAAATCCTCCTGTTCATCCCACCTGGAACACACACAACACAGTCATACAGGCGAAGACACATGTGTGCACACGAGTAACGCCGGACAAACACGGGTCGGCAGTTCATCCTATCAATATACACTTGCTTTGCAGGCTGTAAGCTACACCTGAACAAACGCAGTGTATATTTTTCATCTTTTGTTTTAACTTCACACATTCACTGCTCAGAGGATTGGTGCAGACCTCTGGACAGCCAAGGGTTGAGGGTTTAGCTGGGCAGGAGGCAGGCGTAGAGGGAGCGTGAGCGGCCGGGCGGATGGTTAGAGGACAGAAAGAGGAACGAGGGGACCAGATGTGTTTCCCAGATAAGATAACTCTCGTTCCAGCGCCACTCATCCAAAACACTCACAGGTACCAACTGGCACGGGGGAGGCAGGGTGCTGCCAGCCCCCTCCACGGGCGGCAGGTGGAATTAGTCTCTGCCTGTGAACATGCGTGCGTTTCTGTGGCTGTGTATATTTGCAGATGCTCATTTGAAACAAACAAAAAACAGGGGAAAACAAACAAACATGCAACAGAGAATAAACAACACTCAGTCTGGCAGATGACGATGAATCACCAGGACTGTCAATATGTCAGTGCATATGGACACTTATAACACACAGTATATGATACCACAACGCTACTTCTCGATCTATGATAAGTCTGAGTGCTCCTACCATGATAAAGTTATTATCTGCCTTCACGGCTATTGGCAGAGTGATACAATGAACGAATATTTGCTCTACACGCCAATCAGCCCACTGACGAGGCAGCCCATCAGGCCTGACGATAACAAGGTTGAAGCATCCGATTTGTCAGGGCCGAACATTCCTTTGGAAATGTTGCCAAAAGAGAAATGAAGAAGAGAGACGGTTAGGCAGAGAGACAGACACGGGACAGAGACAATGAAAGTCCTTTATTGTAAGTCTGCTTGTGGATGATATCAGCGCCGTGGCTGCATGCGGCTGTCACTTTCAAACAGCATGGCAGATGACAGGCTGTTGGCATTGCGACAATACCAGAATTACAAAAGAAAGAAAGAAAAATTGGAACATGCTCTCTATGGGCCGCCATGAAGCTAGGTGCTTATTAGGGTTTGGGGATTTGTATTTTCTGTCCGTGTGTGTATGAATACAGGATGTGCATGTGTAGTGTGTTCCGTCATGCCTGTGTGCACATATGGGAAATCATGTGTGTTGGCCTTGATGCAAGCATGTGTGCACACATGCAAATGTGTAAAAATAATGCAGGAACATATGTGCGGGTGTATTTGTCCAGGAGTGTGTGTGTGTGCACGAACACATGACAAGGAGTCAGTTAGCGTGTCCCTGAAACCCAGAGGCGGCCAGGGCCAGCTGGCAGTTCTCTGCTCCGAGGCAGCCTGCACATTGCTGGGGCATTCTTTAGGCCTGCAGCCCCCGAGCCCTGGAGCTGACATCTGGAGGTTATCAGTCTGACAAACAGGCAGAACAATACAATAAGAGTGTGCGCTCATTGCCCATTCTCTGTTCAGTGTAGCTCTGAAAACATTTTCAGAGATTCAGGTCTCTTGATGTTGCTTTTTATGTCTTTAGTGCTGCAGTTCCCTTTGCTGGTTCACTATGATAAAAAAAAGAGAGATCAGAGTGCTAGTCTTCAGTAAGGAGAATGTTCTCTCATGAGATCGTCTTTCAAAAAATAAGGTACTTTGTATGAAAAAAGTATTGAAATTCTCATAGCTGTTACTTGCCTGCTGAGACTTGCAGCTTTCCAGTGTGGTTTGTCAACATAATCAGGCTATAATCACAAAGTTAAAGCACACAACAAAAGCGCAGCCATCCAACCCTGCCGGTGCTGCTTTTCAACGACCAGTGGACCCCAGGGTCCTACGTTCCACCCTGCTGCCGGCCTTCACTGTAATCTACCTTGAACAGGTGAGGATGTCCGGGGAGAGCGCGGTAAAAATGCAAATCAAGTAAGCACTAAAACCCGCTCCTGCAACCAGTCGACTCCAAATCTACTGGTGCATAACTGATGGGCTCTAAGCTGGTGGAGAAGGCAAACCAACGTGCCATGAAATCAGTACGAGTTGGAGAGCACTCAACGAGAGGCCCTACCTGTGCGAGGTGCGATAGCCTGAGTACATAAACACAGCGGAAAGGGCTCTCAGGCCAAAGATGCTCTACACTTCAATTGCTACGGTATTGTACACTGGAAAATTAAATACTAAAATGAGCTGGTCGATCACGGAGCGCATTCCAAGTATGCTAATTTCTGCTACTAAAACAGCACAGTGAGAAACTAAACCAGTTATTAAAAGCAAATCAATGCACTCTCACCGGTGCCATACAACAAAGCATAAGCATAACAAGAGAAGAGAGCCACAGGATATTCTGTGTTGGAACCAAGTCATCTGAGTAGAGACGGAGCAAGCATACAATTTACTACATTATATCCCTGTACACATTATCTGTCTACACAAAGCGAGTGAACAAAATGAGTTGGTATTTGAGCTGCCTGTCTTTTAATCGCCAATGGGAAGAAGAGGATATCCTGAGCTGTTTATATCCTCTGCTGCCGTTGCCATGTTGATTACACAGAGATAGGTTGCGGTTAGGTGATGTGATGTGATTACGATTACATATTTTCTAAAATAAGTATTGACTTATAGAACAAAGAGATGGGCTCAGATAACAACACTCACCTCTGTGTGTGTTTACCGAACTGGAAAAGTAAAATGGGCCCCCACTTCAAAAACACTGCACTGCGCTGATAACGCTGATAAGTTTTAACTTCAACTCCCAGAAATCATTAAATTTATTTAGTCATTGTACTAAACTGCACACAGCACATGGCTGTGTTACTGACTTTGCTAGTTCACAGTGTTGCTGCTGCTAGGGTCACATTTAGTTGGTACCTCTAACTGGAAAAACGTCCAAATCGTTCCTTGTTTGCCAAAAGCTTTTTGGAAAAACGTGGCCCCATATTAAAATGCCCAACTTTACAGCAGAAATAAACAATATACTTCAGTTTTGGACAAACCTCTAAAAGTAATGTCCTCCCCATTTGCTTCAGCTGTACTTTGTGTTTGGTGTTAAAAAGCAATTGCTAGCATGCAAACAATTAAGAGGCTAAACACAGTAAACATTGAACCTGCTCACCTTTAGCACAGTCACTGAGAGCATGTAGGTCTGCTGATGTTAGCGTTTAACTTAAACCATCCACAAGGAACTATCATTTTGTGTTCATTCTGGCGGCCCCTGTGGACAAAAGTGGTAGTGTTTCTGCCGTCTCTTCGTCTGATTTCTGTTTCTGATTAGTAACTATATAGAAATTTGTTTTCTATACATGAAGGCATGGTGGCACTTTAATGAATGTCCAATTCTGGTGAGTTAATCAGACAGAATGAGTCTGCAGTAAAACTATGAGATCACTTATAAATCTTATCTGTCTGCAGCTGGCCTCATTAACAAGGCCCAGATCCCCCACTGTCACTGACTCTTATACCCACCCTGTATATATATGCATTACATTAATGCACTCCTGTCTTCTGTACAGTTTTCTTATCTTTTCTTATCTTTCTTATCTTTATTTATCTATATTTTTATTTAATTCTTGTGAGATTTCTGTGTGACTTGTATATTTTTGTGTGATTTATATATTTTTTTTGTGATTGTATATTTTAAGCACCATTGCACCAAGACAAATTCCTCGTATGTGTAAAAACCTAAATTTCATTCTGATTCTTATTCTGATAAATGTCAACCATTCCACTCAAGTCATAAATAGTAGATGTCAATGAGGAAAAATTGTTTAAAAGGGTGATTTATCAACCTTGTGGATGTTGTCACTCAATGCTTCCCTAAATTGCCAATATTTTATGCAGTTAATGTGGGTCCATCAGAAATGGCCGTACTGGACTGTAACAAACAACCGATAAATACATTCTCACATCATCCTGTAGCACATACTGGACATTAATAACTGCATGTCTTTATTACTGTGCTGTTAATGAAACAAGTATTTATTTTTATTTCACCTCAGGGTGTATCAGGAGATTGGAACTAAATTCTACTGTAGCACTAGCAACTATTTATAGCATCTGAGGAGAAAGTGACAAGAACATATGTAAACACTGCTTTGCCAAAAAATAAATTAAAAAAAGCATATTGTACTGTACGTATAAAAGATGGTTTTCAAATTTCCATATGATTAGAGGAAACACATTTATTTCTTGTTCAATTATTGAATCTTTCTCTAGCTCCACGATGTGGGGAACATAATTATTCGCTGAAACTACATCACCTGGTCCTCGCAGACTGCCAGAGTGGAACATTAGCTCAATCAATGTCAATTATTTCCCAGTCTCCATTATTGCACTGCCAGGAGTGGGCAGAATTTTAATCCCCACTCTGCAATTGCTTTAGCTACATGAGTATTGGGCTTTTTGTCATGATTAGAAACATGACTGAACATTAAGCCCAATGGCGTTCAACAAGTAGTGCAGGAAAAATGATAATGGGTTTGTCGCTCAACAAAGTGCAGCCTGGTAGTGGAAGTCAGTAACAGTGGCTATACATTTGGCCCTGTGTAGTTTTACAGTCTCTGTCAGCTAATAGAGATTTGGTAGCAAATAGGGTCATGTCTCTACTTGTCACATACACAGAAACACTGCATTTTAACTGCTGTGCATGTACTGTTGTAAACTCTTACCTTAGTGACAGCCGGCGTGTACATGCAGGGTCATAGAAACACAGGGAAAAGTGTTCCTACTCTAAACCTTCCTGGCATTTCACCATATTCATATTTTAGTTGTTTTGTGAAAGTGATACTCTGCCTTAACTGATTCATGGGAGCCTTTTTCAGGCAACAACAACCAATGAAGCACATCTAATCAGAAAACACCCTATGATTAACAGAATTTTATTGAATACAAATCCAGTTTCAAAGCCTCTTATCAAATCTAAGTCCTTTTCAAATATTTTTTATCAAATATAATTAGGTTTAGATTTTAACACTTGCAAGTAACTAAAGCTGAAAATAACTAAAACAAGATCTGTAATTACCATTTGTTGTCTGATTAGGGAGAAACTGTTTTGTGTGCAGCCTCTTGCTGAACTACAAAAACACACAGACCACACTCAGTCACTGAGTGATGTTTTCTTTTCTTTTCTTTTATTCACAATCTATCTTTGGTTGAGTGTGCAGAGACCACTTACGGATTTAACATTTATTAACTCAGCTGATTTTCTATAATCCTCCCCCAGTGATGATTATCGGGTAAATAACTATTATTGGCTTAAAATGAAAAGCCTGCATTATATAATAATCTGAAAAATGTTAGGGAAAAAGACGTTTGTAAAAGGTTATATTATATACAATTTAAAACATTTACAGAGCTGCAAACAACTATTTGCTATAGTGGAGTCATGGTTTCCTGAGCTGTGAATGTGTCATCACTTTGCCTGTGTTGCTATTGCAGTCTCTCTGTGGTTTGTTTACATTGATGGTCAACTTCGTGTGAGGCTGAGTAAAGCGACTGAAATGGCGGTTTTTCTCCTCTATGTATGAATTACAGATTTAATTTGATCAAACCAGAGTTGGAACAGTGGAAAGACTAACAAAGACAGTTTTTGTGATTTTTGTTTTGCTTTTGTCCACTTTGAATGAAGTTACAATGTTTCGACGATAAGTGAGGTTAAATTAGCTACCGTGTTTGTCTATGGCAAGCGATAAGAATATGGCCCTGTTTCTGGTCAAGCAAAAGGTTTTTCTCGGTAGCGACCTTTTCCATAATGTCGTCAGAAACAAGCACTTTTAGTGGACATATTATGACGGGCGTATTTGTCCCCAAAGATTAACGTTAGCTTATGTTGCGGCCATTGCATCCCTTTTGATTTCACATCTAACTCGGTTAATTAGGGATTTGATGAGTTTTATTGGGTTTCTGTCCCATTGTTTTGGTCTAAGATGCTGGGGCTGTGAAATCTGTTAGCAACTCAGCGTAACAAATATAGGAATCAGCTCCAAAATGGAACCGGTTATTGGAACCTAACTCTCAAACAAACAAACAAATCAAACAAATTTAATAGTATAAAATGTTAAATTTTTTGGACAGAGGATTAGTTAGGGTCATAGGGGAAACCAGTCTACGAGTTTATGGCTGCCAGTATGCAAATGTATTAGTTTATAGTTGGCAGACTGAAAAGAGTGACAGCGGAAGGAGGTATGGGCGGGGTGTCCAGAGTAATAAATTTACTAGAACGCAAATTGTGGTTACTGTTGGAAATGCTAAGTAGAGATATAGAGGGGTTCTGCCAATGATAGTTTTATACATGAACTGGTCCAAGTAAATCTGACGGCTGGTGTGGAGTGATGGCCAGTTGATTAGAGAGTACAAGTTTCAGTGATAAGTATTGAAAGGCACCTGTGACAAAGGCAGTATGGTAAATAATGTCCAGTTTATTGAGAAGAGATTTGGAGGCAAACCGGTAGGTTAGGTTTCTATAGTCCAGGATTGGGAGAATTGTCATTTTGACCAAGCTGTGCTTTGCAAAGTTGGAAAATTACGCCTGGTTTAATCATGAGGAAATAATTCTAGCAGTCAATACAATGATTGTGCCTTTGTGTTTTTGTATTCCTGAATTCGTCCTCCTTCGTTACCTTTGTCAGGGCTGAAGGATGAGGATGTCCGGCCAGTGCTAGCTTTACAGTGGTCTCCCAGATGTGTAAGTCATGGAGCCCCCGGGCCGTCACCATGAACTGGACAGGCTCAGACAGGTTGGCCACCTCCTGCTCGGCATACACCGTTCCATCAGGCCTCACGCTGAAGTTGGGGTCGTTGCTGACAAAGCCCACCTCTCGGCTGTGCTGGCAATCCTCGAACTTCACTGCAGAGACAGACAGAAAGGGGAGCGGAGATACAGAATTAGAGAGTAGCACAGTGAGATTTACTCCATGAGGTGTTCGCAAATCCATGACACATCTGGCAGGCTTAAGATTAACCTGCATCCATCAAGACATATCTTGAAATATCTCATCCCTTCTGCTGTCACTTTTGATTCCCCGCTTTGACGTCTTTGGCAAAACAAACTGCTTATCTCTTTCTGAACCAGAATACACAGGAGGGAACCTAATTCTTTTTCATATCATTCTTTTCCCAAACTAGACAGATAGCAATGTCAAAACAGCATTTCCCTCAGCTTCTCCAGGGAAAGCATGAAGAGTAGGTCTAAAGCACATTGGGCTGACTGGGCCGATTGTGCTCTATGCTCTGCTGCCAAGCACATGGAGCACAGTCTTGAATGACATTTGGAGGGTTTTGCTCGACTGAGACAAAAGAAAGGGAGCTGTAAGGAATCTCATGTTTCCACACAGAAAAAAAACTATACTGCTATTGCTGTTTCCAGAGTAATGCACCATATTTGTGTGTATGAGCAGTATGATCTGGTTATCGGGGGTGTTTGCAGTTTTTCCGCTGCATACATGAGTAAAGGGGTTGGGACACATCAGACACAGGCAGAGGGATGATGCTGAGTGCATCAGTGCAGATTCTCCAGTGACAGCTGACATGAATATGCCATTACACTACACAAAACACAGGAGAAACATATAGTCTCACACAGACTATTAGGGAAATTCGTTCATTCCATTGCCAAATTTAATCAACACTCAATGCATCATTGTCCTATGATTCACAGCATGAAGCAATAGCATGAATGCTTAAAATGACTGATTGCTGTTTTCAACATGTCTATTATGATAACACACACACACGCACGCACAGCATTCCTTGTCTCACTCTACCCGCAAGTTGAAATGCATGTGCTCTGATCTTATCTCACAAAGTCTGGCTGCTGATAACAAGACAAATTGATTTCATAAATCATGCAGGGAACAGATCGCCTGTTATGAGCTATGGCAGCGTGATTTTTCAAAAATCCAGCGTGAAGAATTCTGCACAGCAAGCTTTTTATCAAGCCATCTATTTAATTTATCACCCAGCTTCCTGTCAAAAGCAGCTCCCAAACAACAGGCCAATAAAGCTCGGCCACTGCAGCTTAGCGTCACACAAATGAGGCCGCTTGTTTTCAACCTCTGAGTAATTACATGCGTAATGGGATGGATGGTAAACACAGTTTCGACAATGTGTGCATCTGTCTGTGCTGGCAAATGCAATCCATATTTTCATTTGAAAAAAATACGGCCCAGTGGAGAACGTCCTTATGTGAGTGATAAGCACGTGCCTTACTTTGGGGATCATTTATTGAGGCGGGGGGTGATTTAACATCAGGTTGTGACAATATGACACAGACCTGCTTGAATTGTCCACAGATGAATTGTGATAGCAGGCATGTATTATGTAAATGACTTCAATTAGCTTAAACTGAGCTGGCTAATTGTTGTCACTTAGACAGGCCTCTTGTGGTGCAGCTGGAGAAGCGAGGCTTAAGGACACGTGCACTGCAAAGCACTGCTTATAAATGCGTGTGCGTTCCCGCCTGTGTGTTCATGCGCGTAGGAGTAAGTTCAGCTAGTTTGAGAATGTCTGTCCTCAGCTGGTGCATATATTAATTTCAGTCTTAATTCTACAATGAAGCCAGCGAGGTCTCTGAGGGTCTGTTTCTCGCCTTGTGTGCTGCGGTGGTGCCAGTTGGCATGGGAACACATGTGGTCTAAGAGCCATTGCCATTGTGCAGAATTGTTAGAGGAGTGTCTTTGATTCTTTGCGAGGGCACTGGGCCACCTCTCAGTTTACCACTCGCCGCCTACTGGTATGTACCCCTCGAGGGGGCCGGGACCATGACCCTGATTCCTAACACATCTACTTACTTACTGTGAAGATATTCATAAATTCTTTGCTATTCATTAAAAAGCACATTTAAATCAGGTGGTAGGATCTGACCTGCCACGCTGCTAAATGGAGATGAAAGAGGCGGAAAGAGACGACGCAGAGACTACCGAGATTCTGATAGAGAAACTATGTGTGTCGAAGAGCGAGGGGGAGATGGGAGGATAAAAGGAAAAGGCAGATTACCGTAGCAAACAGAAAAAAATAGGTAGAAATACATTACAAAATATATAAAATAAATCCTAATTGGATCAATTTTCTCAGCATTAAAAATAAAATACTTAGTTTTATTGTAAGACAAGAGGAGCCTAATGTGTAAATGTAGCGATGCAGATTATTCGCTGCTGTCACATCATAAGATGGAAATAGTAACAGTGAATGAAGACTAACACTGTTGATAACTAATCTGTGCTTATTTATTGTTATTGTTCTCTAGTGCATGTAATTCGTTTTGTCATCTTACGCTTGGCAAGCTACAGCATCCCTTTGTACAAAAAGCTGAACTTGAATAAACAAAGACAAGGCTCCAGGGTGTTTTCAAATTTGACAGCCCTGAAGGTCAGTAAACCCACAGTCCTTCTTCAATTAAAAGACAAAAAATTACAGACATCTTTTACTGCAGGTTCAATGAATGCTGCCACTAGACGTAACTTCATCACCTTATCTGGAGCACCAGGACTGCACAGAAGAGACAGAGGAATGTGCTGAGTGCAGGTCCGGCCTTATATGTATAATCTAACTACATGTACTACACATAGCTCATTCACAATCTGACAGATTTAAAGTGTCAGTCTTTCTGATGATAAAATCACACACTAACACAAGGACATCGGACTTGCCTGCCAGATATCTACACGCAGCTCCATTCACCAGCCAAAATGTCTAAGGGTTAGGTGTGTCAGTGTGTGATTTTCACTGGGCTTAAAACACATATTTTTTCAAATTTCAACAAGCTAAAAGCGTACAGACCCAACTGACAACATGTCATAACCAGGTTTGGGGTACGGATAGTAGCTTATCCATAGTCTGTCATTGGCTTCTCTCAGTGAGTTTTGATTGATCAACAAAATGTCTAATAGGAGACGTCACAATACAACATTTCAAGCCACTGGGTGGCCTTGTTTACCCAGCATGCATCTCACTGTCAAGGTGAAGCCTGTCAGGAAATTTCACCCTGTTAAATATTTCAAGAACTCTCTGCAGCCTGAAGCTGGGATGCATTTCTGAATATATAACATGCAAAAAAACATGGACTAAAATGTGTATTAATGCATCTTTGAATATTCCATATGGGGAGGACAGTGTGTGGGTGTGGCTAATGTGCTCTATGGGAATTCTGATAGCTTTAAACAGCCATCTCATTCAGCTCAGAATAAGCAAACAGTGTAAACTGTATACAAGTTGAGACAATTTTGTCATTGCCTTTGTGTTGCCTTTCTGGTTAAGGCAACTGCATTCTGACTCAAAGATCAACTGTGTCCCTGTACTTTGCCTTGGTTAGTTGAGGAAAACACCACGGGTATTAAACCACCAACTCAAATGTGTGTGTATATTGTCTTTGTCTATATTGTAGCCTAGATATGTGCAAAATGTGTGTGTGTGTGTTGCAAGTTGGTCTGCCTCCATGTGTCCCTGTGTAAGCTTCTCTAAATGTGTACGTGCGTGTGCATGTATTATGTGTGTATCAGAGTGTGTCTTGTATATTTTAGTGCGTCCTGCCATCCACAGCGGTGTTTGGCAGGCTGCTGAGGCTGGTGTCATTCTGCTCGGCTGCCCTTCTCTGGACTCGAATGGCAGACAACATGCTGTCCAACAGAGCGGCTAGCGTGGCTAAAACAGGGCGGGCAAGCAGCCGTGACCACCGACCACCGAGTCCACCAAGCAAACACACACACAAACACACACACACACGCACACTCAGAGAGAAAGACACGGATATGCTCTTTGTCTCTTCCTGCTTGTAGATCTGCGACAATACCCTAGAGGAGGCCAAAACAGCTCTTGTATGGAAACATTACATGTGCATAATGTAGATGGCAGGTAGCAACTCTGCACAGCCTGCTTTGTGCATCCACATGGAGCATGCCTCCCTCATCCCTCTGCACCCGCCTACAACATGTTCACCTGTCGACCGTACATGCCTCCCCTCTCCTCCCTCCCTGGTGGTCTCTCCTCTTCCTGTCACAGTCTCTTTCCTGTCTCCTCCACTTCCCTGTTTCCCAGTGTCACTGCTCCCCGTCCTCCTTACTTCTTCCTGTCCCTATTTCCTCCCTGTTTAACCCACCACTCCCCTGCCAACCCCCTCCACCAATCTCTGTCCTGCTCTTGTATTCCCTGCAGACTAAGGCATGTTCTCCCTGATGCAAACCAGGACAGCCAGTCTGAGCCAACAGCTGAGCCAGACATAAAAATGGGCACCCTGTTGGGTTAGTTATTACCATTGTTAAAGTGAGCTGAGAGGATGGCACAAAAAAATACTAAAAAACTAAAAAAGAAATAAAAAAGGTCAAGATCACGGTCAGTCTGATTTTAGCATTTACACACTTGTTAGCTGGTTTTAGAATTGATTATAGGATTTTACACATAATATTGTAAGACTTTGATGGATCTTTTTATAGACCTGCTTTTATCTAACAACCTTTATTACGGTTCTTAGCCTCCCTTTTATGATTTTTGCTTTTATTCTGCATGTCTCACCCTGTAATATTGTTTCTACTGTTCATTTGATCAGTTTTTAATGAGTTGAAACGTGTTCTTGTGATTTGAAAGGTCTATAAATAAAGATTATGATATGATTAGCTACAACTTCTAAAATTAGATGTCTGACAGCAAACACACTGTACATAAATGGGTGGATGTGGGACAGAAAATGTCCCCCTTTATGCAGTTGACACAGACAGAAAGTTGAAAGTCTCACTCTGGTTAGAGAGACAGGTATATCACAAACGGAGCTGGTAAATGGATCCAGACTGAGCATATGGAGCTCCTTTCGTTAAGGTGCTGTTCATCCCAGTCGTGGCACAGTGCTAAGTAAACATT